CTTTGCCGCGGTGTTGCCAGAAGCAGCAGGAAGGGACCCTGGTGGGCTGTGCAGGCGGCCTTGGAGGGTCTGTGCCGCGATTCCAGGAACTGTGACAGCCGAGGAAACCAGTAGGGGTTCGCACACCGTGCTTTATAGGCATCCTTTGGGATTCTAGAGAGAGAAACGGCATGGTCACATGCGGGTAATGAAAGTAACGTCTCTCTCCTTTGCTGTCCACTGGAAACTCTCATCACACGGTCAATCTTCTGTACAGCAGTATAAGATAGAAAGTTTTTTTTCAAAAAAAGAAAAGAAAGTAATGTTTCTAAACACTCAAGGGCCCCCAATCCTCCATTATATAAATACAAAAATGCATATAAATATACAGATACACTTTGTGCTGTAGGATAAAGGCAAGCTCAGAGTTCCCCGATGTGCTGGCTGGTCAGGAGATGACCGCCTGCCCTGTTAGGGGCCGTGGTCCCCTCATGCATACAGGTGTCTCCTGTTGGAGAGGTTGACCAGGGTCACACAGACACTGAAAATGGACCCCGCTCGGGTGAGGACAGAACAGGCTAGTCCTTTCGACTCCGGGGCAGAAGGAGCTTCTCTCAAATCTGAAGACGCCGCCCCCTCCGCCGGCCTCCCATCCGCTGGTCCTCCTGGTCCAAGCGGCGGGCGCGGCCCCTCTGAAGTCTTGGATCTGAACTCCAGGGTTTTCGGAGTCGCTGGCAGCTGCCTGGGTGCAGCTGAGGCCGCTCACAGGATGGCTACTGAGGAATGTTTATGCTAGAAATGGCCCATTTACTCAAACTTCTGAATTAAAGAATGCCAGAATGTAAGACAAAAGGAGAACTGTTTTATGGGGAATTGGACTCGAATAACCAGGCACTTGTCCAGGTTTCAGAGTAGCTACTCAAGTGGCCAAGTTAATTTGATGACTTAAGTGGGTGTGGAGGGGGTTTCCCTTTGTAGATTATAAAAGTCACGGGCACGCAGTTTGGTTTCTAGGAAATGAATTAGGCAGCTGCTTTACCTTCTGGCATAATCATGACCCGGACTGTGGGCACCGCGTGTCCATCCTGCCTTGCTGGGGTCTGGCCTTGGCTGTGTGCAGCCCCACTCGGTCCTTCCTCCTGGCTCAGCAGTCCCCCCAGCCTGGCCCACTGCACCCACTTTGCGTCTGTTTCAACCTTCCTGGACTCTCACCTCATCATCGCTTCCACCTGCCCCCCATCAACACTTCCTGCCTTACCCTCCCCCGCCCCACCCACTTCCCCGGGGCTCTGATGACCAGAAATTCCTCTTAGTTTTACAATCTGTTGTGGCCCACGGGCTTCGTTGCTCTGCAGCATGTGGGATCTTCCGGGACCAGGAATCAAACCCTCCTCTGCTGATTGGCAGGCAGATTCTTTACCACTGAGCCACCAGGGAAGTCCCCTGAGATCTCACTGATACGTGAAGATGCCACTAAGACTGAAACCAAGAGTCCGGCTGCTCTGGACAGGCCACCTCTTCCTCCAGGCCCGCTGTCTCTCAGTGAGCACGGCTGAACCAGAGCGACTTCCACACCACCCAGCAGCTGGGCAGGGCAGGGGGTTAGAACAGTACCATCCAAGGGAAAGAGAACATGGGAGCCACGGATGGGAGCCACGTGTACAATTCCAAGTCTTCCAGCAGCCACATTAAAGAAAGTAAAACAAAACAGGTATACGGTTAATTTTAATAGTACGTATCATGTTGAGCTTCATAGAGCAGAATGTTCTCTCTTCCATGTCAACCAATATAAGATATGAGTGAGACACTTCAAGTCCAGTGTGTGTTTTATGTTTACATTGCATCTCAGTTTGGAGGAGCCGTGTTCCAGGTGTCTGATAGTGATGTGTGGCCCGTGGCTGCCACGCTGGGCACTGCAGTGTCACGGCAGCCGTCAAAGGTCATGCTCTTTTGAAGTGAGAGACTCGTGCCATCTTTGGACATCAGTGGCTGGATGCCCAGGACTGGGGAGGCTGAGTGGCCAGGTCAGCCCCTAGGGAGTGATGTACGTTGTAACCGTGTGCATCTCGAGAGTGCACCTGTCAGAAAGTGGGTACCACGGTGATGAGGAGGGGAGGACGGGGAGGGGAGGGTTTTGCAAATAAGGAAGTAGGCTAGGAGCTTGTGTGTTACTCACCAAAGGCCGGCATTTAGGACATGGGGAGTCTGACCCGAGGCTCTTTTCCCTGGTCCTCACCATATCCTGCTGCCCTATTCACCTGGGAGGATGGGAGGTGGGGGTGACATCTGACAATTTTTGTAATCCTAGCACTGCACACGGATGTGTATTTCCACCATCTTTGGCCCAAAGTACGCACATGCAAACACGCTGTTTCGCAGTAAGTCTTCCGCACTCACAACAGCTGGGAGCTTGGGATCTCTGCATTTCCATAGCTCCAGTGTTTGGCTGGAGGGATGATTAATGATAAAAGCAGAAAACAAATGGTCTGAAATCCAGATACCCCAGCCAAGTCTCAGATGGCTAAGTCCCAGTAGCTATAAATAATAAAATAATGACATCACTCTTCTCTGTGATCCAGTATGGTGTGAAAGGAAAATAAATTGCTTATCATTTGTGAGGCCCAGCTATATTTTATATTGTTTTACTTCTTCTCCATGTGTTTTTCTCAGTTGCTTCAACACGAAGAGTTGTATTCATGTGAGTTTTACCCCCACTTTCAGCCTGGAAAACATTCCTTAGTTCACTTAGAGATACCTTTAACTCGCTTTTACAATTGCTGCAAAAGCTCAGAACATGTCTGAGACCTAAGCACCTGCTTCCCCATGCTGGTGAATGAGGAGTGGGTACCCTGAGCCCTGGAGACGAGATCTCTGGAAGGTGAGTCTGGAGATGAGATATCTAGAAGGTGATCTGGAGATGAGACCTCTGAAAGGTGAGTCTGGAGATGAGGTCTCTGGAAGGTGATCTGGGGATGAGGTCTCTGGAAGGTGATCTGGGGATGAGGTCTCTGGAAGGTGATCTGGGGATGAGGTCTCTGGAAGGTGATCTGGGGATGAGGTCTCTGGAAGGTGATCTGGGGATGAGGTCTCTGGAAGGTGATCTGGGGATGAGGTCTCTGGAAGGTGATCTGGGGATGAGGTCTCTGGAAGGTGATCTGGGGATGAGGTCTCTGGAAGGTGATCTGGGGATGAGGTCTCTGGAAGGTGATCTGGGGATGAGGTCTCTGGAAGGTGATCTGGGGATGAGGTCTCTGGAAGGTGATCTGGGGATGAGGTCTCTGGAAGGTGATCTGGGGATGAGGTCTCTGGAAGGTGATCTGGGGATGAGGTCTCTGGAAGGTGATCTGGGGATGAGGTCTCTGGAAGGTGATCTGGGGATGAGGTCTCTGGAAGGTGATCTGGGGATGAGGTCTCTGGAAGGTGATCTGGGGATGAGGTCTCTGGAAGGTGATCTGGGGATGAGGTCTCTGGAAGGTGATCTGGGGATGAGGTCTCTGGAAGGTGATCTGGGGATGAGGTCTCTGGAAGGTGATCTGGGGATGAGGTCTCTGGAAGGTGATCTGGGGATGAGGTCTCTGGAAGGTGATCTGGGGATGAGGTCTCTGGAAGGTGATCTGGGGATGAGGTCTCTGGAAGGTGATCTGGAGATGAGGTCTCTGGAAGGTGATCTGGGGATGAGATCTCTGGAAGGTGATCTAGAGATGAGGTCTCTGGAAGGTGATCTGGGGATGAGATCTCTGGAAGGTGATCTGGAGATGAGATCTCTGGAGGGTGATCTGGGGATGAGATCTCTGGAAGGTGATCTGGATATAAGGTCTCTGGAAAGTGAGTCTGGAGATGAGGTCTCTGGAAGGTGATCTAGAGATGAGATCTCTGGAGGGTGATCTGGGGATGAGATCTCTGGAAGGTGATCTAGATATAAAGTCTCTGGAAAGTGAGTCTGGAGATGAGGTCTCTGGAAGGTGATCTGGAGATGAGGTCTCTGAAAGGTGAGTCTGGGGATGATGGCACAGCTTAGGGCAGGAACTGCAGTTGGGTGGACTCCATCTTACCATCTACTTGAGTCTGGTTGAAACAACTTATCAGACACAGGGGCTGTTTTAAAAAGGCCTTAATGGCCTCTGGATTCCTGAGTGCAAGTCTCAGTCATTCCCCAATTCATGCACACGCCTCAGTTCATGAAATACTCTCAAGTGCTGGGCTTGGGCCAGGTTTGGGGGAATCAGACCCAAATAAGAAAGCATTTTTTTTTTTTGTCTTCAAAGACGAATTATTCTGTTGGATGGAATACACAACAAATACAACTGATAACTGACAACTGAATAATGAAGGAACTGTGGGGAAAACCAAGCTGGTCCTAAGTATCTGAGCTTCTGCATCCTTGGATTCAACCAGCTGCTTCCCTGATGAACTCACTGTAATATCCACGTGTGAGTGGACCCACGCCATTCAGTCCCTGTTATTCAAGGTTAACTAAACGTATTTTTGGACCTGACAGCCTAAGGGTGGTAGGAAATGTGCAGGCACAGGGCAGAGCTCCGAGTGTGCCGGCTCTGGCTGTCTGCATGATGGCTGAGTCTGTCCTGCTCTCACTCTTCTCTAAAATGCTGCGGGGGTCGCGTGTCCACCTGAAACCCGGGCCGCGGTCCCCTCCTCCTGGAGCCCTCACTACCGCGGCGTGTGTCAGGGATGGAAAACACCCCTTCCTGGGCCACTTCTCAAGGCACCGAGAGGGCACAGGGTTACAAAGAGGAGGTGGCCTTCTGGGCTATGAAAACAACTCCCTTATTTCTTGTTAACCTCCATTGTCCTTATCTTAACCCTGAGGCAGTTAAAGTGCGTACCTCCCAGGCTTCCTGAGGGGGGTTGTGTGAGGGATTCAGACAAGCATAAGCCCATGACCTGGGGGTGGAGGACCCCCATTTCCAGGATTCCCACCCTCTGTGGTGCCCACTGGAACCCTGGTGCTTTGTTGAAGAACAAGTATTCTTTGCAGGTGTAGGGAGAATCCTGAGAAACTTCCAAGCTGGGGGCAACTTTCCCAACCTCCTGTTGGTGGGATCCAGGTATGATGGAAGAGACCTGGAGAATCAGAGAAGAAGTTTTTGATAGGGGTAAAGGCTGGTGGGTCTTCCCAGGAGGCACTAGTGGTAAAGAATCCACATGCCAATGTCAGAGACAAAATAGATATGGGCTTGATCCCTGGGTCAGGCAGATCCCCGGAGAAGGAAATAGCATCCCCCACTCCAGTATTCTTGCCTGGAGAATTCCATGGACAGAGAAGGCTGGTGGGCTATAGTCCATGGGGTCACAGAGTCGGACACGGCTGAGTGACTGAGCATGCATACACACACACACACACACACACACACACACACACAGACTGATTCCTTAGTTGATGAACTATTTTGAAATGAAACCCTGATCAGTGTCACTAATACTTTACCTGCTGTCCTGGTTTGATGTGAAATGGAGCAGGACCTCATGGTCCTTGCTCCCCACCCCTGTGTCCTCAGCCTGCCTTTTGCCTGTGGAAGAACTTTAGCCAAAGAATAAGTTTAATCAAAGGACTGAGAACATGCAGAAACAAAGGCAAACAGTCAAACGAGACCAAATAATAACAATTTAGTCATCATACAAAGTCAAGGACCTTTCGTTCCTCCTATAGATAATATTCAGAGCCGTGTTCCTGCTGGGAGATGCTGACTGTAGTGAGGGATTCAGACACAGCTTTACACCCTGCCTGATTCGGTCCCACCACCATGGAGGGAGGTCTGCCGTGTTCACGGTGAGTGCTGTTCACTCGTGACGTGGGAGAGGAGCAGAATGGTTAGTTTATTACATAAAGAATCAGAAAGGCCAGAAACTGTTATCTGAGTTCTTCTCAATATTGCATTTCTTAAATATAAAACTGTCCTTAAATACAGCTCAGAATGACTACCTCCGCAATTTTATTGGCAGAGGTCTCCTCCTCTTTCTAGGCTAGAGTCATGCAATTTAAAAAAAAAGTGCCCAGAGATTTCTGTGTATTAATGTTGTATTTTGCAATTTTTCTGAATTCATTGATGAGATCTAGTAATTTTCTGGTGGCATCTTTAAGATTTTCTATGTATAGTATCATGTCTTCTGCAAACAGTGACAGTTTTACTTCTTTTCCTAGTTAGATTTCTTTTTTTCTCTGATTGTTGGGACTAGGACTTCCAAAACTATTTTGAATAAAGTGGTGAAAATAGACACCATTGTCTTGTTCTTGATCTCAGAGATAATGCCTTCAGCTTTCGGTGTGTTGTTAGCTGTGGGCTTGTCATATATATGGCCTTTATTATGTTGAGGTATGTTCCCTCTATGCGCTCTTTCTGGAGAGTTTTTTTTTTTTTTTAAATCATAAATGGGTATTGAATGTTGTCAGAAGCCTTTTCTGCATCTATGAGATGATGATATGGTTTTTATTCTTTAATTTGCTAATTGTCACATTGTATAATTTGCTAATTGTATCACATTGATGTGAGGATATTGAAAAATCCTTGCACCCTTGGGATAAACTCCACTAGATCATGGTGTATGATCTTTTTAATGTATTGTTGGATTCAGTTTGAGAGTATTTGTCAAGGGTGGGTGAGACTTACAGCCTGCGGTGAGGTGGGCAATCAGCAGAGTACCCGGCTCCTCCTGTGTCACGTGTATTTGTTGTGTCTCCTTTCAGAGGGAAGTGTCGGAAGGCCCCTCAGCGCTTAGGTTAGAACTTCCGCCATCAGAACTTGTCCGCATTTGCCTGCACGGAGCTCCCCGCCACGAAGATGGAAGTTTGGTTAATCTTACGCAAGCTGTAAGTTCTTTGATCAGAGCCAATGCTGATGGAATTTAGGATACAGTGTCATTATTTCAGTGAGGGTTTTTAACACAAGAGTTTCACACTGTTGGCATCAGGCAGAGACAAAGTCATGTGGGACTTACTGGCTTTCTTAGGGAAAAAGAAAGATAAATGAAATTCCCCAGGGCGAGAAGGCCTGGGGATCTGGTCCTGCGGCAAGGCAGGCCTGGGAGACAAAAGCCACTGTACCCGCAGACTTCTCCATCACGGGCCCCGGGAGAGACAGCAGACACTAATTAAATCAGGGAAGAGGAAAGAGACATAAACCGAACCCCTTTACTGAGAGATGTTGTGAAGAAGCAGAAGAGAGCTGAGAGGGACCTCAGAGGTGCGTCTCATCCCAGCACATCAGAAGCCAGCCTTGAGAGGCTCTGCTCAGACTCCCAGGGACGAGCAGTCACCTCGGCCACTCAGACGCAGGCCTGAGTGAGTGCCGGTCCTGTCGCCCTATGGTTAGGGAAAGAGGCAGGCTTTCACGTTTCTAGTAAGGTCTGTGATCCAGTTCAAATAGAGCCAGTATTACAGGTTCAGGAAAAAGGATTTTGTTCAAGAAAAAGGAGGTGGCTCAGCTCAGAAGCAGCGCCTGGGTTTCATCTAACATGTCATGATTCTCTGCGGGTTCGCGTCCCGAGAGGGGCCACGACTCTGTCACCTGGGCTGGACCCACGTGGTCTCCAAGCGCGTGGACATGACTTCTCTTGACTGAGGGGCCCTGAGTGAGAAACCCATCGGGGTCCAAGACTTGTCGGGAGAAAGGGATATAAAGCAGCTGGTCAGTAATTTCTGCATTGACTTCATGTTTGCATGACCAGGTTTCTCTCTGTATCAGGTTAAGTAAATCCTCCTGTCAAAGCGAACTCCATCTCTTACCCCGCTTTGCTCCTACGACACGAGGATGGGACCTGCAGCTCACGGGGCGTCTCCACTGCCGGCCGCTCCAGGGGCCCTCACTGGTTTGGATCTGAAGCCACGGGTCCTGGAGGTGTCTCTCCTCCTCCTCCCCCCATTCTCCTCCCCGCTTTCCTCCCTCTCTCCTGCCCCTCTTTCCTCCTTCCCTCTTTCTCTCTCTCCTCCACCCTCCCCCACTTCCTTCTCTTCTCCCTAAACTTGTTTCCCCAGGATCACCCTGGCTCTTAACTCATGCTAAGTGGACAGAATTGCTTGTAAATCTCAACATTTCCCAGCAGGACTGTTGCTGGGAGGACCTTCCTGGCCCTGGGACTGAGCCTGGTCTGATGGGAGGGGTCTGGGGAGGGCTGGGGGGGTGGTGGGGGCCTGGCCAGCGAAAGAGCCCCCATCCTCACGGTCAACCTGCCCCCTCTTCACAGGTGTTCCTGTTCTCAGCTAACCCTCCTGGGTGTCACTGGAGCCCGTATCAGACTTCCTTGTCGCACACCTATTACAGAAGTTTTAGGAATTTCAAGGTAACAATGAGAGCATTAGCTCCGTGCTTATATCCTGGGTCAGCTGTTCATGTTTGCCTTCGAATTCAAGCTGAATGAACACAAAACAGGAGCAGAAAGACTTGTGATTGACTGGGGAGGTGGGTTATTCCTCCATTGATCAGTTGACTTGAATTATTTTGTCTATCAAGCTGTCTAAAGTTCATGTAATCTTTCAGCTGGGGTTTTGATATTCTGGAATTCCCAAAACCTGTGTGAGAGTAGTGTTGTAGGTCCAGGACTTACTGGTTCAGAAGACGGTAAACTCCTTACCAGCAAACAGAATGCTTCCCAGTGATGCTTGTAGCTCATAGCAATGTTCCTGGTTAATGTTGGGTGCCGAGTGAATGTTGGTTGAAGTGAACTGCAGTTCGATCTGAGTCGCTCATTACAGTAATGCACACACCTAGGTCTCTTCTAGTGTCGACTTCTCTGAAAGAGTCAGGGGCGATAGGCAGCATGTGATCCCAGCACGCCGTTTAAACAGCCACGCAGAATAGAAGCCAGCAGATTTGCATGTGCTATTCGATGAGACACCTCTGTGACTTTTCTTACCAGTTTTATCTGAGCATAATGCACCCAGCAAAAGAACGCCTGAAAACAGACTCCTGCCTCATCATCGTATTGCAAACTACAGGCATGAAATCCCAGGAGATGTCAGTAAGCAAGATGGATTGGGGAAATGAACCATGAGATGAAAACAGAAACCCAGAACCTCCTCTCACAGTGGAAATTTGCTATTTAGTGTAAAAACTGAAATCATAAAGCAAGAGGCAAGCCCTGGTCACAGACCCCACCTCCGGCTTTGGGAAAGCAGCCCCTGGGAGATGGTTTAATGTGCACAGGGAGCCCAGAGCCCTGCCTGCCCCCCACCCCGCTGCCCTGCAGGAACGTCTGCCCTGCTCGCTGACCCAGCACGTTGGCGGCAGTGACCTCCTCCCCTTCTCTTCCGGGGCCCCTCTCCCCATAGTCCATCGGCCCAATTACATTTTCCAAAATATAAATGGGTTTCCATTCATTTCACTCAATACACGGCTATTTATAAGTGGAGGCCGTTCTTCCAAAGGTCACGACCCCCTCGGTAGACTGCGTGACCTTTGGCGTTCTGCTGTCATTCCGATGTTAAGACCCCTGGGAGCTCAATGCCCACTAAAGCATGGTGACTTTCTAATCCCTAGAGAAAGCTTGGCTTCATCCTTTTTTCTTTTCTTTCCCCCTTTCCTTTCAGGCAGGATCCCTGCATTGGAAGGGATACTGTGCTTTCTAAGTATCATTCTCTTTTTCTCAACATGAGCTGATTTTTTTTTTCCAGTCCTTAGATTGATGTTCCATTTGCCAAAGACATTTCTTAAAAGCATTCAGGTGCATCTGTGTAGTGTTAATTTTTGAAAAGGCTTTGCCCTTCTAGAACGCCCTTTCCTGTTCAATCAATAGGGCGACCTTGGCTCAAAGGCTTGGAATATTTATTTCTTCGGGGTCTTTGTAGAGAGTCCATCACATTACATGAGCATTTTGAAATCCAGTGTCATAATTTACTCTCATGATATGAGGTCTGTTCCAAGTTTAAAGATTCATCAGGACAGTGGATGCCAGCTCATGATTTTATGACCATTCTAAATTGTAGCTGAAGGAAACATTTGATCGTAAAACATATTTAACTTATTTTTTACCAATTACATTGGGATTGTGGTAGAACCTGGATGAAAACTGTGGGTCTGGTCTTGAATCACTTTTTCTTTGGCCTGATTTTCCTGATATATATTATGTTGGTAATTCCTTGTTTGTGAATGAGGGGGAGAAATTTTTTTTCTTCATCCTTTCTTAGAGTGCAGTTTTCCAGCCTGGTGAAGTGAATTAATGAGGGTCTGACCTCCATCAAGTCTGAATTTATGTGCACTCAAATGTAAAGATGTTGGAAAAAGACATAGCAGTGATTCCGCACACCAAGGCATGCCAGAAAATAAAAGGGCTTGGGTTATTACTTCTAAAAAAGATAGATCAGGACTCTGAAATTTAATCCTGTACAAACAGAGCATGACACTAATTTCCACTCTCTCTGCTTTTCCTGACTCGGCGGCTCCAAAAGTTACCTGTCACAAACAGATTTTAAGTTGATTTTTCTTGTATCTCTGCTTTCATCAGATTAAAATGTGGCACCTTCACTCCCAATGTTCTAGCTTCTTTTGGGACCAAATCATGTATTGTCATCAGGGTCTCAGCTGAGAGCAAAGAGCAGGAACTTCTTGTAAAGCATGATGTGGATCAAGGGTAAAGTCAGTTAGCACTGGAAATCTTTTCGTAATCCAATCATTCCAGTTACTGGAAGGGTGGAAGAAAATGTGACCATGAAGTGGGCCACTTCTTAATATCCAAGCATTAAAATGCCAGCTTGAAAAATTAATCTAAAAACTTATATAGTTTAATTTCCTGCTTGCAATGGCATGAAAAATAAATCAGTGAGTGGTCGGTGATGCAACTGTAGGCAGGTGCCTGGATGTAGACATGGCATAAAGTGCTGTACTCTTTCCCCTCCGTCTCTCAAATGTCCCTTCATATTTTGTTTATGGAATTAAAAGTGTTAGTCTGCATTAACATCTTCTAGTCTTGCAAATGCAATTACCAAGGCAATTAGTGAAATTTTAGAGAAATGGAAATATTTGACTAGAGCAAGTCTATTCTGCGATTTGGTTGTGTAGTTGTGTGTGTGACTATAGTCTTACATTTACAAGTTTCTGAGTAGGTTTCCATGCACCTCTTATGGCACAATTCTGAGAAGAAAATAAGGCTTTTCCCCTTTACACAGTTCGTATCACTCTAGGCACTTAGGGGCCGTCACCTTTAATTAGAAGTGGCCATGAGCTTGTGAATGCAGGTGCCACTCATGGTGACTAAATCACTTCATGCACCTAAATCCTTGATGCTTTCAAATTGTGGTATTGGAGAAGACTCTTGGGAGTCCCTTTGACTGCAAGGAGATCAAACCAGTCCATCCTAAAGAAAATCAGTCCTGAATATCCATCGGAAGGACTGATGCTGAAGCGGAAGCTCCAAAACTTTGGCCACCTGATGTGAAGAACTGACTCATTGGAAAAGACCCTGATGCTGGGAAAGATTGAGGGCAGGAGGAGAAGGGAGCGACAGAGGATGCAATGGTTGGATGGCATCACCCACTCAATGGACATGAACTTGAACAAACTCCAGGAGAGAGTAGAGGACACAGGAGCCTGGCGTGCTGCAGTTCTTGGGGTTGCAAAGAGTCTCACCCAGCTTAGTGACTGAACAATAACAACTTACCCAGTCCTGTTCACGCTTGTCTTTGTACCATCCACTAGTTTATTCTTTGTTGCCATTATTTATTAATGATCAATTTAACCTCTTTATCTTGTATTGGGGTATAGCTGATTAGCAATGTTGTGACAGTTCCAGGTGAACGGCAAAGGGATTCAGCCATGCACACATACATTCCTGTTGGTTTTTAGATGAATCGGAGCGGTTCGCCTCACAAGGCTCCCATCATAATTAGTGTGGAGGAGGCGTCTGCCGTGTCCCAGATTCACAGCACGGGAGTCGTGCAGTTACCTGCTGTTTCTTCAGTGGCCGAGTCTGCACACCTGGGGGCAGGTGTGCCGTGCTGGGCGGGACATCAGCCCCGTGCATGGCCAGGTGTGGCCTGAGGTCCCAGGAGTGCAGGCTGGGTTGGCAGGATGAGGTGGGGTCATCTTGGAGAAACACACTAAATGTGTCTGGAGTCTGCCAGCCCTGGGAGGCGGAGGGAGGGCAGAGGCCAGAGTTGGATTTATTAATGGCTAGAGGGTGGAGGTG